CTTCGTCATGTGCCCCACCCCCATACCTCACCCGGGGGAACTGTGATCCCCCGTGTTCCCCCCCGAAATGACCTCTGCTTATATATTTATATGTTTACTGTTGTTATATAAGATAGGCCTCGGGTAAAGCCAATTATAGTCCACCAATAATTCTGGTAGCATAGACTTGCGTGAGTTGAATGCATGTCACTCCATCCTGTACAAATTCTGGTCAGCCATGAAGCAAACTGAGTGACTTTGGGCCAGTCAGTCTCTCTCAGTGTTACTTACCTCACAGGATTATTGTGAGGAGAAAATTGAGGAGGGGAGAGAGAGAGAGACGTTCATGTCGCCCTGTGCTCTTTGGAGGAAGGCCAGAGCTAACAACCTAATAGATATTGCTTTCTTCAGTCTTTATTTCTCCCAGCTCTGGGAATCACCTTTGTTTTAAAAAGTACCACAGATTCCTTTTATTATAGAGATATAGATATTTATTTTATATATAAAATAGCACTTCTTTATATATTACAAAACAGAAAACAGAACAAAAAGCGACACGATCGTCATCCTTCCGTCCTTCCTTCCCCTCATGAAAACAGGAAAAAAAGGTCAACAAACAAACGTGAAATAAAATAAAATGAAAAATGATATAATTAAACATAACAAAAATTAAAAAAAAACTTTTAAAATAAACGGAGAGAAGCCCCAATCCCCAAAGAATTTGCGGCTCTGGTTCCCCGGTTACGGTTGCCCTGAGATGGCGGTGTCTCCGCCCCCCCCTGCCCAACCACCATGGCGGCACGGAGCTAGCAAGCGAGCGGAGGGAGGGGTCTGCGTGGCCAAGGGTGTGGCATGGCTGTGTGTGGGGTTTTTGTCTTTGTTTTGGATACACATGGCTAAAGAGGTTTGGGCGGGTTTTCAGTCTGCCTTGCTTTTGGGAGAGGCTGCTGCAGGGGTGCCATTAGCGTAGGCGGGTGGGGGGCCAGGCTTGGTCAGAGTGCAGGCCGCAGGGAGGCGTAAATACGTGCTAAACAGGCGAGCATAGTCAGGGTGACGGAGAGAGAAGTCCTGGAACTCATCTGTGTGGGGAAAAAGACAGAGGGTAAGAACACAAGAAGAGCCCTGCCGGATCAGACCAGCGGCCCATCTAGTCCCGCATCCGGTCTCACACAGTGGCCAACCAGTTCCTCTGGAGGGCCAACAACAGGGCATAGAGGCCGAGGCCTTCCCTGATGAGAACATAAGAAGAGCCCTGCCAGATCAGACCAGTGGCCCATCTAGTCCCGCATCCTGTCTCACACAGTGGCCAACCAGTTCCTCTGGAGGGCCAACAACAGGGCATAGAGGCCGAGGCCTTCCCTGATGAGAACATAAGAAGAGCCCTGCCGAATCAGACCAGCGGTCCCTCTAGTCCCGCATCCGGTCTCACACAGTGGCCAACCGGTTCCTCTGGAGGGCCAACGACAGGGCATAGAGGCCGAGGCCTTCCCCTACAGTTGTCTCCTGGCTCTGGGATTCAGAGGCTTAGTGCTTCTGAAGTTGGAGGTTCCCCTCAGTTGCCATGGCTAGCTGGCGTTGGTAAGACTTATCCTCCATGAATGTACCTAGTCCCCCTTTTAAGCTTATTCCTGTGGCCATCACTACATCCTCTGGCAGCGAATTCCACAATTTTAATCACTCTCTGTGTTAAGTAGTATTTCCTGTTGTCTGTTCTGAATCTACTGCCCATAAGCGTCATTGGATGCCCTCGAGTGCTGGTCTTTTGGGAGAGGGAGAGAAATTGCTCTTTGTCGGCTTTCTCCGTTCCTGTGCGTTCCTGCCCAAAAATAGCCCTGATATTGGTTGCCCTCCTCTGTATTTTTCCCAGCTCTTCAGTGTCCTTTTGGAAATGCGGTGACCAGAACTTTGCACAGTATTCCAAATGAGGCCGCACCATGGAGCTATACAGGGGCATTACCATATCGACGGTTTTGTTCTCAATCCCTTTCCTCATAATCCCTAACACAGAGTTTGCCTTTTTCACCGCTGCAGCACATTGGGCTGACACGTTCATTGAGCGGTCCACTATGTGCCCAAGATCTTTTTCCCTCAGCAAGCTCAGACCCCATTAGTGTGCACCACCTTACCCTTACCAACACTGAAGGAGAGAAAGACAGAATAATGGAGGAGACGGCCATCTTAGCATAAAACATGGGACATGTAGATGGCCAAAATGTCAGAGACCACCTCAGTGTGGAGATATTAAGCCTCTAGGACTTAATAGGAATATCCTGGCTTTCTGCCTTCACCACTGTTCTCCTTACAGCTCTCCATTTCTGTAGCCACCCAAGCCTCATTTCTTCCCAGTCCTCCTTCATACTACGTCTTAATCTTCCCTACCTGGCTGAGGAAGTTTCTCCTCCTTCAAGGGTTGCCTGCCAAACACCAATAACTGATGGGAGGTTTAAGCAACGGGGTGATGCAAACAACTGTTACGGCAATGCCATGACATCACTTCCAGTGTGAACATCATCGTGACAGTGAGATACTCTAGGACCTGCCCAAAACTCTATGGTAAAACCAAAGAGTTTCAGGTGAACCTTAACAGCATCAAGCCGACACACTGATATCACTTCTCAGTTTGTGTGGCAATTGATGTCACAACTTTGCGGCAATGCTTATTCCTCCCAAATTTTCCACCTCTGCTCTACTGAGTAGTGGCAAGCAACCAGGTCTGCAGGGCATGAGGTCTCCTACTCTAGAGCTAGCCCTGGCCACCTACCTCCCACCCACCACAATCGCATCTCTCTTCCTATCTGCCTCTTATCCCCTTGCCAGATATAATGTGAATGAAACAATTTCATTGGGATGGCCAAAGGAAGGGAGAAATCTCACCCCCTTCCTCAAGTCCCTCTGTGTATTTTGTCCAGGGCTCTTTTTGTAGCTCCTTTGCATATTAGGCCACACCCCCCTAATGTAGCCAATCCTCCAAGAGCTTACAGAGCTCTTCTTACAGGGGCTACTGTAAGCTCTTGGAGGATTGGCCACATTAGGGGTGTGTCGCTTAATATGCAAATGAGTACCTGCTACAAAAAGAGCCCTGAATTTTGTCCACAGCTACCCCTGTAAGCTTCCTTTCCCGCCCTCCATGCCCAAGGATCTGTGTAGACCTGAGGGCCCTCACCGAGGGTGAGTCCGTCCTGGCTGTGGTCCCCGCAGAGCCGGCTGTAGAGTTCCGCCCCGTCCGATCTGGGCGTGCCCAGCAGTAGACGCAAAACGGCACAGAACCCGTCCTGGTGCAGTCGGCGGTCCCCCGTCTCAGTGTGCGTCTCCGAGAACAGCTGGGGTGACACGGGAAAGAGCGCATGATGCAGGGTGATCAGAACCGAAAGGACGCCGAACATTCTTGGTCACAACTGCCTCCCCCCACACAGATGAAAATAGCGATTCCATGGCGCAGTGCCCCTTTTAACCCAACTGCCCCTGCCCGTAGAGCTCCAGGACCCCCCCCCATATCTTTGTTCCCTATCCCCCTCAGACTGACGCCCACCATCTCATTTTTGTTAGGTGAGGGGTCATTTCGTAGAAAAAGAGCTAGGCGAACTCATTAGCATAACTCATTAGCATATGCCACACCCCCTGACATCACCGGAAGTGTGTCATAAGGCCACACCCCCTGACATCACCGGAAGTGTGTCATAAGGCCACACACCCCGCCCCCAACGGTCCCAGCCGCTGCCGGCCTTGGAGCTCCACTGCCGAGCCCCATGAGGGGCCCGGCGGTGGACCTGCAAGGCCAGCGGGAGTGCGAGGAAGCCCCGCGAAGGCCCTCCCTGGCCCCAGGCAGGCAGGGGTGGGGAGTGGCAGGGAGGGAGCAACTTACCCTCCCTCTTCTCCTGCCTCCTCCTGGCTGAATGAGGGCTGGAAGCGGGGCGGCCGGAAGCAGGGGGCGGGGCTTTGTCATGTGCCCCGCCCCCTGCACCTCACCCGGGGGAACTGCGTTCCCCCGCG